CTACTTAGTGCCTATGCTTGTACTTACTTATATTTTTTAATATAGTTGTTTGTTGTTTAACATGATGCACTGTTGTTTGTTGTTGTTTATATTGATAGCTGGTCACATGTTCTGTTGTTGTTTTTCAGGTCTAGCATACTTTTTGGATTTCTCCAAAAATTTGTTTAAAAAAAAAAAATTTTAAAGCCAGAAAAGGTTTTGTTTTTTAAGAGTTTGCTTATGTTGTTGCTAAGACAAAGTATTTGTATTTTGTGTGCTGAGTCTTTTTTCTTAGAGGTTTAAATAAAATTTGTTGAACCAGTTTTGTGTTTTCTTAGTATATTTACTTTAGTCATATTTTGAAAAAAGAGGTTAGCAGAAAGTGGTTTTTTTTTTTTTTTAAATGTTTTGTTTTATTATTTTTAATCTACTTTATTTCATTATAATATTAATATGTTTTCAATTATTAGTAGTTTTTTTAAAACAAAAGCTGTTCAAATAGTTTTTAATTTAATTTTATATAAGTATAAGTTTCTTTATTTAGATTTTTATTTGTCTCAATATTATAATTATTAGAAAAACTATTAATGTTATAGTTTTTAGCAACTTAGATTTCAGATAATATATAATTTTTGTTATTAAGATTTTTCAAAATAAGAAATAATGTTATAGTATGATGTTCAAAAACATCTAAGTAAAAATTATTTATTTCTATTAAGTGTATTTATAATTTGTTTTACTAAATGCTTATATAACAAAAAGTGATTTTTTAAAAAAGCAAAGCAGCTACAAATTTATTATAAAATTTTAGTAAAGTATAAATTATTTGAATTACTTATATTAATATTTTTTTTTTTTTTTTACTATAAATTTTTATTAATTCTTTATTATTTGCTTTTGTGTAAATCTAATTTGTCTTAAAATTACTCTACTAATACAGATTTATTTTTTTATTTTTTTTAAATATTAAGATAAGTACTTGTGACCCAGGATTTATTAATAGTATATTTGACTAATAGTTGCATTACAACCACAGAAGGCAACTATAAAAAGAATGTACAACTAGCTACTCATACAACTTTAGTCATTGTCTAATTTAAGTAGTCTACCCAAAGGTTCTACACTAGCTGCCATATCTGGAATCCACTTGTAGGTTCTCTATTTAACCACTCTGTTTCTGTATCCATCTATCTACTTCTGCCTACCAATAACCCTGGCCAATGTCAGTGAAAATATGCCATGGCCACTAAGTCTTTAAAGCAGTTCTTTGGAACCTTTGTCCTTGTACTAAACCTTTTAGAATTTTCTGTATCTCATTCTTACAGCTGACTTAATATTGCTATGGCTAAGACCAATACTGGCAGTCAGAGCATATTATTAAACTGCTATGCTCTTGTAGAGTTCACTTCAAGCCTGATACTAACTTTACAACATATCCTTACTACTTTGGTATTCAATTCAAGTTCTACCAAGCTGTTATTCCAAATAGTTCAGAAAGATAAATCGAAACTATACACCTCTGTTTACATGTTTGTGGCATATATCTTTTTTTTTTGGAATTTGGAAATTTTGGCAGCCTGGTTGGTTCATCTGGTCACTCTTTAAAGATCAGCACATTTGTCCAGTTTTACAAATTCTAGCTCTGTTTTATATGTTTAGTCTTTACAATAATACTGTCGAAAGCTTTGATTACCTTTCTACTTAGGTTTTCCAAGTAGGCTTCCATCTTCTTCTTTTGGTTTTTATAATTTACATGGTCACGAGGACTTATTGTAGGTTTGCATTGCCCAGTACTAGTTTGCATTTTTTTGTGTAACCACAGACCTTGTTTCAAAGGACAATGTTATGTGACTGTTACACAAATAGCATATGACCTGCCAGTTATGCTAGTGCGATATAGATAACAGGTATCTTATCCCAACCAATTGCAAGAGACAGTTAACCATATTACAAAAAGAATTTTCAAATTTTCTGTCAATACTGAAATTTGAACTCTGAACCTGTCACTTGGGGGTTGACAACCTGATCACTTCACTAAGTTGCCACATCCCTTCTAATACAGTTTTATAATATCAGTTTAAATTTGTAATAATTAGTTTTTTTGAGTCAATACTACTTTTTTAAGAAGTATCTAATAGAAGATTTAGTTTAAGTTAATTGAAGTATTGTAAATAATATTATTTAATAATGCTTCAATATGGAGTGTAGCAATCTAGTAAAGTAGTCAGATTGTCAACCTTTCAAGTGATAGGTTGTGAGTTCAAAATCTATAGATGGTAAAATTTGGATAATCATCTATGTAATATTTATATTATAGCAATAATATTCTGTTAATTAGTTAGAATAGGATATCTGTAACTATGATTGCATTATCATGACTGGCAGATCAGGGGCATCTATGTAACCTTGGTTTCACAAAGGGATGCAAACTTAGTATTACAAGCCAATTGGTTTTTATTAGCTGGCTTAGTCAGCTAATAAAAATATTGGCTAAGTGGCTAACTAATGGCTAATATAATAACTATATAATATACAATATATTATTACAATATATATATAATTTTTATAAATAATTTTTATAATACTTAATATAATACAAGATTAATTTTATTTAAAATCTACTAAAGTAATTCTAAATTCAATTATTTATCTCTAAATTTGCATATATACTTTTTGCACATTTATAACTTTAAGAAACTAACTTCAGAAATTGATTAGAGTTTCAACTCAGATAAATCTATACTTCGCTCGCTTTATGGCTATTATATTTGGTTACTGTTGCTCTTAGTTACTCTGCCCTTTAACACTTCCTCACCTGAGGATCCATATCTAATTATTTGAATAATTCAGATCACTTAAATATCCAGATAATCTAACAAGTATCCAGATATTGATAATAAATAGAAAGTAAATGGAATATATCTGAATAAATTCAAATCCGGATATCTGATAGTTATCTGAATACATGCATAATAGATTGAAATTCTAGAATTGATCAACTTAGAATTAATCATAGTCCTGAACCATAACAATAATGAAATCATCAGTATAAAAAATCAACATCCCAAATTCAAATTGTTAGAATCATACTCATTTTTGAGAAATTAACTATAAGTAAAATAAATCAAAATATATATAAAAAAAAAAAAAAATACACTATACTTGCCAATTATTAATTATTCTGTTCAAAGACCAAGAACCAAATTCTTTTACTTTCTCAAGTAGAGTTCCAACCTAGATAAATCTGTTATCCATTTATCTATACCTGATTATTCAAATATCTGTTTACTATTGATATTCGGATAATCTGACAGATATTTCAAATATTAATAGTAAATAATAGTAAATGAATATCTGAATATCTGATAATTATTCAGATAAATGCAACCTGGATTGGAACTCTAATCTCAAGTTCCTGTATACTCAAGCTAACGATGTGAATTTTTAATTATTAATTGTTAATAACATGAAATTGTTAATCATTTTTAACAATTAATAAATAGGTCAGTCTGTACCATTATGAGTATTCGGGCAAAATTCCTTAAATTGAAATATCGATATTCAATCAATTTTAATAATTAAGGTAACAATAGAATTTTTGAACCTTTGAACAAGAATTGTAATAAATTGTTATATGATATTATGTGACAAGACTTGCACTAAAGATAGAGCATCTACTCAAGAATATGGTTTAATGAATTATCAATGTTTGAACACTTATAATGGTATAGACTGACCCAAATAAATTATCCAATATGCATAGAAAATATTGATATGTAAAATGTGTAATCAGCGAATCAAAATATATATTTTTATATATTCTAATATAAAAATGATTTTGTAGTGATAAAAATTAATCAATAATAGTTACCATAAAAAAAAAAACTATTGATTAGATCATTTTCTACAAAGATGTTCTATGCATATTAGATAATTAGATTAGAAAATATTGTTAACTTATTAATCGTTAATACGTATGTAATTCATAATTAATAATTAGAAATTCCCATTGCTACGTACTTGAAGCTAATATAAACTCATAAACAATAGAGATAATAAAGATAAGCAGATGCAAGTATATATATATATTGTATATATAAATATATGCACTGCTATTGTTTATGAGTAGATAAAATTATTACACCATGCTGTCTTTTTTTGACATTTAGAAAAGTACCAAAATTATACATACAGTTGTTATCTTTTTGAGTTAGCCAAAGAATCCTTCAAAATAATACTATCGTCTTGCATGGTCATAAAAATGAATGATTATAGGGCTTTCTACATTTTTTAGTACCACATTTCAGAACTATCTTACAAAAGCCAATTCTCTGTATGGTATGATTATCATGCCATAAGATGTTGCCACTTTGGGGCTGCCTTGGCCAAATCTATTTCTTCAGCAAAGTGTATAGACAAAAATTTGCGATATCCACATTTGGCTTGTCACTATACATAGTACACGATCGAACAGATACCATTTATGTTAGCTAAAAAATAAAATATAAAGAAATAAGATAATACGTAATACTTATATAATTTTCACTATTCAAAAAGTAATAATCGTATATCTAATTCTAAGTGTGAAGTTTTAAAACAATTAATCACTTGCTAATAACATGAATTAAGGCATTCTAAAGCACCCATCTCAATAAATTTAATAAATAGTTTGATTAAACTGACTAATTAGGTTAGTTATAGAGTCTATTAAGGCAGGTGCTTGAAAACATCCTTAGAGCATTCTCAAGCATCTGCCTTAATGAATTCAATAAAAACCTGATTGGCTATTTTGATCAAACAGACCAATCAGATTCGTTATTGAGTCCATTGAGATAGGTGCTTGAGAACACCCTTAATCAAATATGTATCTATAAAAAAATAATTAATTAATATATAATATAATGTGATTAAATATAAATAAAATAAAGACAACAATGAAAGTAATGAAAATAATTTGATTTTTTTTTTGTTCTGTGATAGAAAAATTTCTATGTTTTATAAACAAATTTTTTAGTATCAAAATGTCAATACATGATCAATATCAGCTTGATTCTTATGACAATGATATTATAGCTTTGTCAAATGAATCAAATGTGTCAGATATATCAGAAAATCCAAATGACTCAGACATTGAATCAAACTCAAGCTCACCTGAACAATTCACATTACAAAATAATGGCATTACTGTTATTACTAATAGTCTGAGTAAAAGAATTCAAAAAAAAAAACTTTTACGCATAACAAAAAATCGAGACCTAGTAAAAGTTGAGTATGGTATTATTTTAAATAAAATAAAGTTGAAAAAAAAATATATTGCCAAGTTCTAACAACAAATAATAATAGTAACAAAGATACCTGTGATCAAGAATATAAGTTATTAACTGGAACAGGAAACTTAAAATCTCATTTATGCCAAGTTTATAGAATTTTGCCTTTTGAACCAAATAATAAAAATAACCAATTGGTTAATATAGCTTCAAATCAATCATCATTGCATGACTTTTTAAATAAAAAAACACTCTTACTATCTTCAAAACGTGATAAAATTACAAATCGCATTTTAGCTTGAGTTGTAGATGATCTCTAATCATTTTATGCTACACTAATAGTTGCTTTCAAGATATGATTCTTGAATGTGAACCAAGATTTATGTTTCTGTGCATTGATTAGTTAAAAGAAAAATTAATGCAATCAGTACTTTTTGCTGAGCAACAACTTAAAAATCTATTACAAACAATGATGGTTTCTTTTGCTTTATGATGGATCTGTGGTCTCAATTTCATTAACCTTATATTGCAGTAACTATTCATTGGATCAGTCCTGAATTTACTTTATACCAAGCTTTTCTTACAATCCAAAAGTTCGATTACCCTCATATAGGTAATCAGATTAAAGATTTTTGCTAACAACTTTTTGACCAGTAGGATATATATAATAAACTCTTTGGAGCTTCAACAGATAATGCATTTTCGATGACTAAAGCAATGAAGCAGCTCGATATCAAGCATATAGGTAAGACTATATTATAACAATTAGATTCTAAGATTGTATAAAATTTTGTTAAATTTCGTTTTAATAATATAAAATTTAAATAGTATAATAAGATTTTATCGATTAAAACAAACATATTATTAAATTTAAAAAAAAAAATATAACCAAACTTACAAATTATAATTTTTTGCATATATTTTCTCTATTTTAAATTTTTGTTATTAAAAATAATAATTGATAAAAAATCTTTATTATCGAATTAAGTTATTAAAAATGTAATTAATATAAAATACTTTAATAAAATTTATACTTACATAAAATCACTTTATAACTCTATATATAGACTGCATGGTACATTCAATTTAGCTTGCATTAGGAGATGGATTTAATATTAAAGAAGTTGATGATTTAATTAATAAAGCAAAATTATTAAATAATTTTGTAAATCAAGATAAATATTATAAAAAACTTTGCAGACTACAAGCCGAATTAAATCCACAGCATCCAATTAACTCCCTTTCAAGTGATACTAGAACTTATTGGAGTTCAATTTACAATCTTTTAAAAAACCTTCTTCTTTTTCGTAATGCTATTATACAGTTAGCTGATGATTTAAGGCAAAGTGTTAATTGACAAGAAAGACAAGATAGTTTAAAAATTTTAGAAGCTCTCTTATCAACTGAAGAATGAAATTCATTAGACGAATTAGCAAAACTTTTATATCCTTTTGCACAAGCAACAAAATATATCAGAGGAAATCAATATCCTACTTTAGGAATGATAATACCTATTCTTATTAAGCTTTTATGCCATTTACGAGATTTTTATCCAACAATAATATTGATAACAGTAAAAGCTTGTTGCCGTAAAATTAATGAATCAATGCTATCAAGATGGTTTGAACTATCACTTAATAGTCTTATAGCTTCTTTTTTAGATTCGAGATTCAAAAAAATGAGTTATATAATATCTGCTAAAAAAAATGAAACTCTTACTTATCTTTATACTTTATATAATAATCAGAAATGATTAACTTTTATTCAAGAAACAAAACCATCAAGCACTAATTCTTCTTTTTTCGCTTCATTTTATGATAATGATAATAATATTTTAATTGCAAATGAAAATTCATCCTCAGTTGAAAATGAAGTGGCTTTTTATGATAATCTATCTCAAATTCCTAAATATCATATTAAAGATGAAGAATATAGTAAGGTTAATTCATTAACCTGATGAAATGAACACAAATTACTATTTCCTTTTCTTTCTCAACTGGCAAGAAAATATTTGGCTTTTCTGGCTATATCAGTTCTTTCAGAAAGAATTTTTTCAAATGCAGGAAATACAATTATCGATAAAAAAAATCAATTAGACTCTGACACAGTTCATAATATATTATTTCTTAAGAAAAACTCCAAAATTTGTAGTATATATTTGGGTTTACTTAAATTTAGAATTTGCACATATTTTACAAACAATTACAAGGAAAATGGCTTTGTATTTCTATTAATAAAAAAAAAAATTTGAATTTTAGATAGTTTAAATAAGAATGATAAACTTGGTAAACGTATAAAGCATCGTATAAAGTGCTAGAGATTTTTTTTAGAACATTTTTTTAAACTTTCTTAGATAGACCAAATAGATCATAAAAGAAACTTTTGATACTTTTTTTTTGTGCTAAAAATATAAAATATTTTATATAGATTATTAAAGTGAAGCATTTATTTGATTAGTTTATTTGAAATATGAAACCTTTAAACTTTTATAATAAAAATAATGTATATCTTTATTTGTGATTTTCTGGCAATCAATATATACAAAAACTCTCTCCGACGATCACTTGGACACAAAACTGGTGAAAAAAGAAATCAACTTTCTGCACTAACAGCAATAGATAACACTCTTGACTACACTAAGGAAAAGTAACAGCAACAAAGAAAGCAACAAATAAGCTTAGAAGCAAAAAGCACTGCAAGTGTTAATAAGATAGCTATAGAAGAAAACCAAAGTTTTTTGTAGAAATTTTAGTAAAAAAGAAAAATTTTAGAGGATTGCTAGTGACCCTATATGTAGATCTGTTTGGATTACACAAACAACATGTACAGCCTGGACAAAACAAACATATGTAAGATTTTAGAATAAAATAAAATAAACAAGCCACTTGTAGAACAAACAAACAAATACAACAAATACATGATAGAACATTCTAGAAGAATAGAGTCATAAATATGAACAAAAATCTTCCTGTAGAGTATAGAAAAAGTCTACAAGTACTCTTTATAAAAAGAGCATACTAGGCCATGAATAGTGTGCATAACAAAATTTTTTTCAATGAGATGAGCAAAACATACACAGTACTAGATAGAGAAGACAAAATTGTTGCATTGCTCACAAATCAAGACCCAAATAAGGCAGCACTTTTACGACTAACAAGAGAAATTTTAGAAAAAACTGAGAAAGAACAGCCAGAGAAAAAACTAAATATAAATATAGGAAACCAAGACCTAATAACAGAAACAGAAAGAGAACAAATACAGTATAGCCAAAACAAAGAATAGCAAGTGATAACAAAAGAAAATGAAGAAAAGAGTATTAAAAAAAAGCAAGAAAGGAAAAGAAATATAGAAAAAAAAATTGAAAATATAAGGAAACAAGAAGAAACAAATACATCACAAAGAGAAGAATAGAGAGAAGTAAGTATAAAAAGAAATAACAAACTGACAGATGAACCCAGTATTCAGAAACAAGAAACCAAAAAGCAAAGAAATATAAGTGAACAAGAGGATATAGAAATAAATGATAAGCAATTAAGACAAAACATACTAGAAGAGGAAAGAGAAAGACAGAAAAGAAGAAAGCAAGAAATAGAGAAAGAAATCAACATTGTAGAAATAGCATTAGAACAAAGTATATAGGCACCAAGCAGAAGAAATTGTAACCAAAACAACAGCCTAATCGCCAACATACCAGCATATGAGGTTCCTGGAGAAACAAAAGAAGAATATATAAAGTTTATTAGATGGTCTTTAAAGGATAATACATATATAAAAAACATTAACAAAGTATACAAGAGAGGAAATCTGTAGGTAGAAGTAGTCTTTGACTGTAATTATGACAGAGATGAAGCTATACAAAGAATTAACAGAAAAGAGAGTGACTGATACAAAATGATACTAGAAGATAAAGAAAAGAAAGAAAGGGAAAAAGAAGAACCCAAAGACTACAAGAAAGAATGACAAGATAAAGGAAAACATACACCAAGTTTTAGAAAAAAGAAGGTTAAAGAAGGCATTAACAGAAAAAAACCATGTGAGAACAAATATAAGAAAGAAGAAAGACTCAGTAGCAATGTGACTTACTTAACAATATGGGACCTACTGTCTAACATAAACAAAAGAGAAGTAAAGTATATTTGCAGAAGAATTAAAAATGTGCAAATTATATGCATTAAAAGGTTTAAGTACAAAGCCTTAGCAGTAATACAAACACAAGGCATAGAAGAAGAAGATATTCCATGGTTACTACCAGCTGACAATAATAAGCTGGTAAGAGTAACAAGAAGAAGAGAAGACCATAAAGCAAAGGAAAGACAAAGGAAACATATGGCCAAACTAACAGAGCTATCTGGAAATGGTTCAGAAGTCTTATTATTGCGATGCTTAAAAAGTAAAGGAGCGAAGTCAGTATACATTCCACTAAACCAAAATGGGAACCAGAAGTGAACAGCACTGATTATTTTCGCAACAGAGGAAGATATGAGGGCAGCACAGTCAAAACCAATTATATACAACAATTTTTGAGTATACTGGGTTAATGAAAGAAGAAAAGAAGAGAAAGTTTCAAGAATAAAAAAAAAAGAAGTTAGGATAGATTAAGCCAGAACTATGATGCAAAAGAAAACAAAAGTGAAGAAAGAAGTCATTGGAACAGAACATATACAAACAGAAAGAAAGATTGGAAAGACCCAAAACAAAAGTTCAAATGATAGAAGAAGAAAATAGTAGCCTAAGACAGAATATTAAAAACCAAAGTAGATATAGAAGTATAGATAAGGAAAAAGAAGAAAGTCGAAAGAAGAGAGAAAATAAAGATAAGGTACAACAGCAAGAAAAGAATATGCATATAGAAGATGTGCTAGGCTGAATTTTATAAAGACTAGAAAAATTAGAGAAAGTAGATAACTCAATAGGAGAAGGCATAGCCAACTGCTCCTAAAGGCATTTTAGTTGAACTAATGAATATGGATGAGGAGATAGAAGAGTTTTTATAAGATGAAAGAAGAAGTTTTGAGAACAAAAGAGAGAAAACATATCCTCATCCAGAAGAAAAAAGAAGTAGGAAAGAAAAGGAAAAGAAAGAGAAAAAACAGCAAAGACAAGACAAGAACAACTAAAAGAAAAATAGAAAGAAGGAAGAAAGAAGATTAAAATAGCATTTCATAATGTTAATGGACTCAAAACCAAAGGATGAAACTCGATAGTCTGCTAGGCTGAGTAGAAGAAGAAGAAGTCATAATACTAGGCATCACAGAAACAAACTTTACAGAAAGAGAGGGAAGATTCCTAATGCAGACGATGAACAGAAAATATATAGGATTTTGGTCAAGTGTAGCAAAAGACAAGAAAAAGTGATCAGGTATAGGAATTATAATTAATGAACAATGGGAAAAACATGTGGGTGCAGTCAAAAGAATAAATGAATATATGATAGAACTTATACTATACTTCAAGCAATTGGAGTTAATAGTTTTAGGAGTTTATATACCACCAAGTGACAAGGCAATAGGAAAAAACATTCAACAAAAAATCATAGAAATAGTCACCAAGAAAAGAAGACAAATACAAATAGTTATTTTAGGTGATTTCAATCATATAGCAAATAATGTATTGAACAGACAATATTTACAAGCAGCAAACTTCAAAAAATTGCTAATTTTTAATTGGATAAAAAAGCAGAACTTTAGCAACAGTTACAGAGACATGCATTTAACAAGCCAAAGATTCACATAATCAAATAGAGAAGCAGCAACAAAAATTGACTACATATGGATTTTAGAGGAACTGGCCTTAGGTCTACAAAAAGCAAAAATTGAAGATGCACAGGGAATTATTGAAAGTGATTATAAAATAGTAAAAACAGAAATATGAATTAAACACATGACATCAAGAAATAGCAAAGCTGAAATCAAAAAAAAAAGACAATCTAAAACAGTATATTTATATGACCAAGCAAAGGAAGAGAACTAGGAAAAGTATACACAAGAGTTGCAGAAATGATTAGAAGTGAAAGAGATGCTAAAGAACATTCAAAAAAAAGAAACAAAGAATATAAACAGTATATAAGACATATTAGAAGAAGCAATCATTATAGTAGCTAGTAAGCATCTGCCAAAAAAGAAAATACACAATACACTGACAAACGGAAGAAACAACCCAAAGAAGCAATACCAAGAGAAAAGCATTATAGAGCTGCAAAGATTAATTAAACAGGCAAAAACAAGAGAAGGTCAAAAAGTAACAAAAGAGGAAAGAATAGAAATAAATAAAAAACTACAAATAATAGGAGAAAAAGAAGATGCAAAGATGCCCAAACTACACAGGCAATAGTCAAGTGCTTGGATAGAAGACATAAGAGGCTGGCAGAAACTATTACAATAGAAGAAAAGAAAAGAATAGGAACAAAATCAAAGAAGACAAATAGAAGAAAACATGGACAAAAGATGCAAAATGATTAAAACAGATTAAGAGAAAATGATAGCCAGTCTGTTAAACAAACCCTACAAGAAGATAATACTTGACAAAATTATTGAACAAGAAGAAAAACTGATGAATTTAATAATAGAACCAAAGTTAGTTAAAATAGTGTAGCAGAACATTACAAAAAACAATTTAGAATGAGAGATGCAAAACTAGAAGAAATGTCAGAAAGGTGGAAAGAAGTTTATAAGTCACAGGAATGCATTAGAGAGGAATAGTATATAGAATTAGAGAGTAGCATCAAAGAAAAGGAATGGAAAGATGTACTAAGAGAACTTAAAATAGGAACAGCTCCAGGCATATCTGTTATAAGTTACATACTAATTAAACAAGCAGGAAAGAAAACACAAGAAGTCTTTAGAGCCTTTGCAGATCTCTGTTTGAAAAGAGAAGAGATATCAATTAAGTGGAAAATCACACAAGCTTATCCAATACCAAAAAATGAAGAATGTAGATACA